TCAGCAAGATGCGAAAACATAAAATCAGTTATTCTTTTTGGTTAGGTGATTTCATGACAGCCTAAAATGTTGTCCACACAATTTTAAAAAAAAAAAAAAAAAAAAGGTGGGACTTCCTACCCATTTTTCTGTAAGAACTCTAGAATATTTGCTTAAGTTGTATGATCCTGTCTCTTCCTCTCATAATTAGACTTCGTAGGTATTTTTGTTTTACTTGCAATTAAATCACATTTATTATTTATTCAGTGTATTTAATTAGAAAAATTATTAATAATTTGGTTAGTCTGTTAATTACATTTCAAGGCCTCTTCCCTCTCAATGCTAAATTCTCTCCAACTGCCTTCTGCTCTCAGAAGCACTCCTCTTTCTCTGGACTCGTGCTTTGGTCATGAAGTTCCTTGTGCTATAATACAGATATATTTCAGTGTTGTGTTCTGCAGAGTACTATAAGATTACTGAAAACTATCTGCAAATGATTTGGTGTTACACATTCCACCTTGTTAGCAAAGATCTCACCCATTGTTTTAACCTTCAGAGTATGTAATCCTAAGTCAAAGAATGCAGAAAGTGATGATTGCTAAAGTAACTGTAATTGTGCACAGTTCTACAATCAGTCTTTACTGAAAAGCCCTGCATATAAGGCAAATCTCCATGTGATAAATTCTAATGACAGTTTTCCTTGATTACACAGATGTTACAAGATGCACCATGGACAACTCTATACACAAACACTGTTGTTACAGTTGGACATTAACATTAAAACAAATAGCCTATTTGCTTATCTGTGATCCTGTTTACCTGTGGCTGCTTGTCTGTACTGGCTTGAGACCGATAGCTATCCAGTCTTGTATCAGATACAGCATAATCTAAAATAGAGGCTCAATAAAGTAGTATACCAAGAATGTAGCTGCAGATGATATTGTCTGCGTGCTCCACTCTGTCCTTCCTTTTTCTGTCTCTCCCTAGGAAAAAAGCAGTTATCTTCCTTAAGCAAAATCTAGCTCCTTTCCAAAGCAATCATGTAAATCTGAGTGCCAGTCTCACAGCAGAATAAAAAGTCAAATCAGCAGGAAAACTCCACATAAGAGCAACAGGCAGCCCCAGGAGGAAAAATAACCAAAATGCCTCTCCAACTCTCCCATTTATTTTCTCTCATGAGTTCCACTCATTAAAACACTCAGATTTTCTTGTAATTCTTAAAGTAATGTTCTTGCAGAGAGAAACAACTCATTATTCAGCAGGCTTGCCAGCCTTCCAAAGCATTTTATTTCAAAGCCTTTTTCTGAATAAACAAATTGGTGCTGAGAACAAATTGAAGTTACTGCTTTTCCTAGTGTTCTACATACTGGCTACGCAGGCTGTCTTCTCTCAAAGTGGGTCAGACCTGAAACTATGGATTTAAAGTAACAGGAAATTTTTGGATGTAGTCCGTGGGATGGATTTTACATATCATACCTAAAGACAAACTCTAAAACAAAAAAAATATGTATTTTGAATTCAATTATTTTGTATGTTAGGTAAAAAATCAATATGGTCTTTATGACAGTTCTACACATTCAGAAATGTTACTAGTAATTTTATTATGGGTGCTATGATTGCTATTGTTTAGAGGTAAGGAAAAGAATACTTAGTATAATACAAATAACTGAGCTATCATGTAAACACATTGACAACATGATGAATCTAGGAGTGTGGCTTGTAATGGAATGTGAATGTGTTGGACTGATGTACAAAATGTCCTTGTATCCAGTTCTTACATTCCACAAGAGGTTACTTTGTAGTAAATTAGTCCTTTAAGGCATTAGTATCTTATTTGTACTAAATTGATGTGTCCTTATCAAAATGAGAGAATGATATACAAGGATTGTAAAATGCAGAAAGTGTACTCAGCGATACTAAGATTACTGCCTGGGTAGATCAGTGGTTTGGGAAATAGTTAGGAGTAAATTGCCCTTGGAAGAACTAGAGATGAAAGTTTGAAATAAGAGAGATGTTATTTAGTGAACAGAGTATATGTAATTTGATGGGAAGATTAATGATATTGTGAAATAATGCAGTTTGTAGGGAAAATGTGAAATGTTCATAGGATTGTGAAACCTTCATAGGATTGTTGTCACCTGTTAATTTAAGACTATGACCTTGGCGCTGCTGGGAAGAGCTGAAAGCATGTGCAGGTGTAGTTAGATCCCTTTATAGGGGCTCCTCTATTCATTTCTGTGTTGGTACCTGAGTTACAACTGGAAATTTCAGTTGTAACAGTAATGACAGTCATGTCCTAGAAAATCAGTTCTATGCTGAATTTTGCCACCCAAACTGGAATACTTAGCTTTGGGGAAGACTTTGTGCCCTGAGTGTGTGCTCCCACTGTTTTAACACCAGGAAATAGCTGCTGTAAGAGACAAAACATCTTCCAGTATAGATGGCCTGAGAAGTAAGCAAGAAAAATCCGAAGTAGTGCCAGTGCAGCAAGTCCAAAATAGCTTCAGCGGTTCAAGATATTCAGTGGAATTTAACAGAAAATGTGCTTACAAAGTCTGTGTACTCTATTTGACTAAATTAAGTCCCGAAACAGTTAACACAGATCAGAGGGGAGAACTTGATTTTTCAGTTATTTGCATTTGGCTCTAGTGTTCACTTTTTGGGGGGCCAACTTTTATGTAAGGCTACAAGATCAAGTGGCAGAAGTGCTAGAAGTTCCTGTTTTTCTCAATTCCTGCTACTTTTGTATCTTTCTTTTCCCTACATTTTCATGCTCTTGTGTTCTTTTTGTTACAACAAGCAGTTTAAGGACATGGTGTAGGGCACTGCAGTTTCCAGTATTGAAAGGATGAAGAAATATTATAGATTAATTGGCCTCTTTAGAAGAGTGTAAAACTGTGATGTAACTTTTTTATCTTGGCCAAACTTATTTTAAGATGGATGACACATTATCCAAAGCAGCAACAGATTAGCATCTGACAGAGGTCAGTTTAGTAGAGCTTGCCATCTAGTGGATCAGTGGTTGTGTATGCAGAGAATGAAAATCAATGACTCTGCTACGTTATATTCAAAAATGTACTTGTCTAATAGTGTCTTGCAGATGTTTAGTGGAGCTGGGTGGAATTTTGAATAAAATACTGCTGAAAATTGAAATTTGAATTGCAAGCATTTTCGTAGATGTTATCGATTTTTCTGACAGGTCTATTAATACCTACTGCTTGACTTAATTGGTGCTGGACAAACTATGGACTTGGTGTTTTTTGTAGTTCATAGATTTTAAATAGCATACCAGCTGAGCGAGCAAAAGACTAGAGAGTCCTGACTGGTAATGTTGGTGACTTAAAGACAATGGAGAAGACGGATGTATAGTAACTGCAGTCTTGGCTTAATGCTTCATGTTTTTAATTGTTTGATTTGTGCCATAGTCTTTGTTTTGATTGTAACTGGAATTTCTCATTTTGGTTCCTCTCTACTCGTAGCTGCATTAATAGAATTATTTTCATTTATTTTATTGACTAAGACTTGACTATTCCTGTGTGGTAATGCTCTTCATTATTGCCTACTAGTCTTACAGAGATCAAAGGTGTTGGTCATACCGTAATACAGTGCACAAATCTGTACATAAGAATTCCATCAAGTATTTGTGGGGAAAAAAGAACCCCAAAGACTCTTCCTACACACAAATCCAGTCCTCCTGTCAAAACTTAAAGCCCTCTCTAAGTGTGATTATAATTAAGCTTGTATTGGATTTTGAAATGGCCAACCTCTGAAAATACACTTGTTATTTTACCAGAAAACCCAGCCTACGTGAGATGGTAAGAGAAGTTGTTATAAGCAACAAATAATTGGTTTGGATACAGCAAAGCAAAATTTGATTGAAGAAAACGTTCTTGGTGCTGATTGTATTTTTTTAAACTCTTCCACAATGATGGTCACACTGGGAGGTTTTAGCAAGCAACTATATGATATTCAGGAGTAATCTGTATTTACACTTTTAAAAGATTTTCCAATTAATCTTATTACGAAGTACAAGGTTATAGCTGGATTCTTGCTTGGTTATAGATTTTTGTTGTTTATAGCATTTCATGGTCAACAACCTATCACTGAGTAACTTGCTAGATGATTTTTATGTCAGTTCAGTTTGGGTTGGAAGGTTCCATGGGTCAAAACCTTGCTCTGTGTTCGGTTTGTCTGATGTTATTTATCTAAGGATATCTGGCTCTCATAGCACATCACGTGACCACTTCACAGTTATGTATCAGAAATGATAATCTTTTCTTATTTGCTGCAGTAATCTCATGACTGATTTATGCCACTGTTAACAGATTAAAAAAGTTAATGAGAAACTCCTGTTATGATCAAATGTAATGCAGATTCTTTCTTCATACAGTTAATTCCTTTGCTTTTCATTATACAATGACTGCACTTTAGCCTTCTAATACTACACAGTACATTTCATGTGGAAAATCATGAGTAACACTTGTAATATCTTACGAAAAAATGAGAGGTCCTGCTTCTGTTCTCAAAAAAAAAAAAAAAAAAAAAAAATGCAACCATAAAAGTAATTCAATCTTTTGCCAAACTGAAAGTTGTGTTTTAGTACCATAACATAGGTCTGTATTCAGTGGTATTGTTAGCTTGAAAAATCTATTTTATTAACATAAAAAAGAATAAGAAAAATATACATTGTAATTGAACATTTCTTTTAATCTGTAAGTAAGTATGGCAGATAACAAAACATAAGATAATTCTTTAAGTTCTTATGAACAGTTAGAAACAGAAAATAATTTTCTGAAATAGGAAAAGATGAAAGTTCTCTGTATTAGAAAATATTTGGCAATATCTGTTAGTCTTTCAATAAAATATCCATGTATACTTGTAATACATATTTACAGTATCATGTCTTCTACATGTAGTCAATAGTGTGCACATAATTAGTGAATGTTCTATTTTAATATCTTATTTGCACCAGCATTTTTCAGTTTCATTAACGTTGGATAAAAACACCACTTTTTCTATGCTCAGTACTGCAAGTCAACTACATCCAAAATAATTACTTTTTCAGACATCTTTAATACTGTCAGTGTTAGGTTTTGGAATGTCTGCAGTTTTTACGGGAATCCCAACTTGGAATGTAAGCCGTACAATCTTGTCCTGTAGAAAATGTTCAAATATACAGAAAAATCCTGGTAAAAAATTAGAATTTCAAGTTCCATTTTGAAAATATAACTTCGTTATTTCTTGTGCTGGTGCCACATCTTGTAATTACAGGTTAAAAAGAAACCTTTATAAAAGAAAAGGCGATGGAAGGCCACTCTGAGAAGCAGTTGTAGGAGTGTATTTTTTCCAAAGAAAAATGCTCTCTGAAGTTGCACATAATTGTACTTAACGCCTGAACTCACCTTGTGTTAGTTAAATCTTGAGTATCTCAAGATCTTTTTAATCAGTTTAGAACAGAAGCTGATAGTCTGTAGTATGTTCAGTCTGTTTTAAATTGCACACACTGAGGTGGAGCAAGATTTAGGAACTCAGAATTACTGCATCTCTTAGGGACCTTCCAAAGTTCAAAACAGTCAGAAGCCCATGCTTCATGCAAATGAGCTATCACTGGTTATCTGCTTGTGACTGTAATTTCTAGAATGGAAGTATCATTACTCTTGATCAGTATATGGAGCAAAATGGGAATTCAAGGGCATATTAATTTTTGTAGCTTAACTTCAAACAGCATAGGGAACTCTGCATCCAAGTCAATGTTGTAGTAAAAGAAGTAAGAGATATTAAGGATTTTTTTTCTTTTCTTCCCAATATAGTGTACGGTTAAGAGTTTATTCTAGATCAGTCCTTGGACAAGGCTCTGCCTGGCACACCTTTTATTAGATGACTTAGTGCTGTGCAAACATTAAATGAGCTCATTTTCAAAGGTAGATGAGACGCAGCAACAGCATAATACATAATAACTTAAAATAACCTGTTTTGAATTGCATACATTAACTCATGTTTTGAAAGTGTTAACAGAACATCTCTCACAAAGACTGTGAATCTATCAATCAGCTGTAAAATGCTTACTGATTTCATCAGAAAAGCAGACCAGTTTTAGCAGAATATAAGGAGATGACGAGAAAGAAGGTAACGTAGCTTAGTACACTCCAGAAGAGTGATGAGATGCATAAAGCAATCATCCTAACAGTTGAGCACTATTTTCAGGTAAAACTAGTGCGCTCCTTTTTCTTTCATAACGCTGCTATCAGTAGTGGTTGGACTTTATGCTGACATTAGATTAGGAAAAGCAGTCAACTGTGTAGAATGTGAAAAACCTATGCTTGACAAACAAGTGAAAAAACTGTGCAATCCACTGTACATTATGGGACTGGATAAGTGCTCATACAATAGGATGGTATTTCCTTCTTGCATTTCTGAATGCTGTAGGAAGGCATTTAAAAGTATGCGTTTTCTTAAATGAAACCAATGCTGAAAGGGTCTCAGACACCCACACACATAAGTGAAAACGGAACTTGTAGTTATTGAGTACCAAATAGTAGAGCAGGTAAATTTTTTCTAATAATTGCTATGCTAGTTTTCTGTACTGCACTCAAACAGTTAAATAGTAAAAAATAAAATAACAGGTAATGAGATGCTGATATAGATGCAAATTTATGTAGTTATTTACAAAAATGATTAAAGAAAATGATCTGCTGTCTGAAACTGTCTGTATCTAGTTCTTTGAAACAGGTATTGCAGTTTCCAAGGTGACTTTTATAGAGGTTATAATACAAAGGCTCATAACTCTGGAAATGTGCAATCAAAATAATATACTGTAATTCTTCTATAGTAGTAAAAAAACATAAGCACATTTTATATCTGTGAAAGAACTGAATGAGCATAACACATTAATACTCTGATTACTAGAAGAGCTATAAAAGTAAAGTGCCAGTAGAGACTTGAATTGCATTATTTAACACTTAAATTTCAAATAAGAGAAGTCATAGAGTTTATATGTAGTTATATGTATACTAAAGAATGTCTTCGTTTTGGTGATGATGATGGTTGTGGCACCAGAACATAAATACTACAACTAGCTTTCAGTTAGTTGGTAATATTTCAGTCAGATCAGCAAAGCTCAATTGTTTTTTGGCAGAAAACACTTCTTGGTTCAAGCTCCTTTCTTCTGAGTCTGCTACCAGTCTGTTCTGTTTTCTAACTTACTAATTTCCAGTCTAATGCCAAGGAACTGTGCAATCAAATCAAGAGAGTAAATCACAGCCTTCTGGGATAGAAGGAAGTCCTGGTTTAAGCGATACGTTTTTTTTTCTAAGCGTGCCTATATGCCTTTCAAAATCAGACTCTTGGATCTTTTACGATTTCAACAATATGTTATCTATACGATATATTTGGTGAAGCTGATTTAAAAAAAAAAAGTCAACAGATACATTCAGATTTAAAAAATAGAAATAAAAATTGAGCTGGCTTTAAATGCAGAACATTTCATGAAGATATCAGGCAAGCTGTTAATTTCTTTGAATTCAAAATTTTAGATTAAAAGATTTTATAGTGCATCTCAGCCAAGTGCTGAGTAACCTCAATGCAGATCTTAGCAGTTGGTGAGGGGTTTAATCAATGTGATAGATCACAACTTCAGAAAAGTGAACATTAGCAAAAAAGTTACGTGCTAATGGCTAAATTCTGTTTTCTGGTATATTTCACAATATTTCTCTCATACCTTAAAAATCTATCAAAATTGAATTTAGTTTCAGTAACTCTTCATGACTCTTAGACATGTTAATTTAAGAAGTGATGTGGAAAACGTTTTCCCAATATGTGATGCTATCCATGCTCTCAGTTTTTTGAGAGAGGACTGACTATGAACCAATACAGTGTATTTGGGACACGTAGTATATCCATATAACTAAACTGGAAGGAACAGGTTTTTTGTGGTATAGCAGTACTGTTATTGTATATATTTTCTTTACATAGTTGATCGTTGCCCTGCTTCATCAAGTTTGAAGTGTCGTTTTCTGGCTGCTTCACTGTTGAACCCCACATCAGATTTGTCTGCGTTGCTGCCATCTGTCATTGTGGATTCTGCTTCCATGCCTTCAGGAGCCCCACCATTGGGCCGCTGAACTTTAGCATTCTCTTCTGGTGGGCGCTTCCACTGGGGCCTGCTTGCCATCCACAAAATAAGTGCACCGAATATGACAATCAGGAGACCAAGACTGTTGACAAAAATCCCCTCTGGTGGGGATGTACTGTACACAGTACTATTCCTTTGGAAGGAGAAAAAAAAGACAATTGTTTTAAAGACAATTCGAGTCTAAACCAGTAGTCTCCTAATAGGTAAGAGGCCTTTTTAAAACAAAGTGCTATCTCAATACCAGATTGTCACTATTCTGCACAAAGAGAATTACAGTATGCAATGAATAAACTTAATAAACAAGTGAAAAATGAATGCTTACAGTGCAAATAAAAGTTTCTCTGTGATTCCCATGAGAGCTGATGCAATCACTGCTACAAAGATGAGGAGCCCTGAATAAACATGTATTGGCATGAGAGCTGCTCGGAGAGGTACTGGAGCAAATGGGAGTAGGAAGATAGCAAAACCTAAGAAAAGCTAAACACAAAACAAATTCATAGTTAAAGCTATATGGGAAACAAGCTGTACTTCTGAAGCAAAATTGAAATCATAAAATTCAGTTTTGATATACTTTAAGATATTAAGAGGAATTGATATTTTTATTTTTTAATGTATTCTTACAAAACCAAAGCAATCATTCTGGATCATCATCTGGAAAGCAGACATAAAAGTATTTTAAAAATAATTCCACCTCATACCAGTATCTAAACATACTGCTAATGCTAAAATTGCTACCAATCTGAGTACTGTAAAGGTAACTTTTCAGTTTCAGTAATGTAAATAAGATACTAAATGGGTGACTACATTTTCAGAGTCCCTTCAATTTTAAGTCCTTTTCTCCCCTTCTGTTCAGATTTGTATGTAAACGAAGATCAGAATGGAGTTTAACATTTTGTCTTGAGTGGCCTATAGATTTCATCCTTTTAGGGCTTTAAGTAAGTTAAACTACACTCCTCTAGAAGGGCAGAGGTCTGTTGGCATTTAAAATGAGGATGTGTGTGGGGAGTGTCGGGTTGTTCAAGGGCCACAGGTCCTCCCATCAGTCTTAATTCTGTGGTGGAAGAGAACACCACCATGTCATATGGGTTCAGCCACAGGCGCTCAAGTTACTTTTCCAGATTTTCTTCTGTTGTTGTTTCTTTTTTTTTTTTTTTTTTTGAATTAAAAAAAAAAAGTATGAAGTATATGATTATCAGTGCTGCAATATGCCTTCTTTTTTTTCCTAGGTGTTAAAACAGTATTATTTCAGCACTATTCCTTGTACCTCCTGTACCTCCTTGCCTGAGCAGTAAAGGATAGAAATCCAGAACCCAAATCCCTTAGCTAAGTACGTTCTGTGCTTGATAACCAGGTCATTATGATTTTTTTTCTTTTCATTTGGCTAAGAAGTTAAGCATCATTTCTTAAAGGAACAAAATAAATGCTGTATTCAAAATTTAGTTTCTTTTTTAATTACAACAATTTTTCAATGGTAATTTTAGAGTTTTGCTAGATTAATTTTTATTTAAAGAAGTCTGTGCTATACTTTTATTATTTAAAGTAAATAAAAATAAATAAATGTAAAGTAAATAACACTTCCAATAAGGGCTGTGCTAGGTAAGACAAATGTTTCTTCCATTTTTCTTAATATTCATTTTAAAGTCTGAACCTGACCACACAGAGCTACCTCTCTTAAATAAGCTTACTTGTTTGAGCTTTCATTTACTAAAAACAATGCAACTTAAGCAAAAAGCAGCTTCAACTTTAAAAAGATGCAATTTCAGCTAAATCATGTAGGTTATCATTACAAATACTTTCTCGGTATGTATTCAATAAAGATGTTAATAAGGAAGACAAGGAAAAGCAATTGTTTACTGCTTTTCCTCCTCCGTTAAGATTTAAAAGACTCTAACACAAATTGCCTTCACTTCTGAAATACAATTTCATGGAATGAAGTTTAAAAAAAACCCTGGAAGTTAAAAGTGCAGATTCTTGGTGTGCACGGTTTTAAAACTGAATAAAAAGCATTGAGATAACTCTGGTCTTGATCTCCCAGTTTAGTAGAATTGCTTTGGACTGTAAAGCTGACTTATTAAATGCCCCATATGTAGGATTTCCCTCCTGGTTGATTGTTTTTTATTTCTAAAGTGTAATTAATACAATAGAGAGACTTCAGAATTTTATGTGCTAAAACATCACACCTGTGTATGTGTGCTACATACCGGGGCATCCCTACTCTCCTTCTGTATCAAATGCAAAACATAACAAGTTAGCTCAATTTAGATAAGATAAATCTAATTTTCTGGCAATAGGAACAGTTAAAAACATGCACATGGACACTTATCAATGCCATTTTTCCTGTTGTAATAAATGAGATCTGCTGTGCTCCATGCTGCACTTGTTCTGGTTATAGACAAGTCCTGAGGCCAAGAAATGAAAAGTTAAAATTATCCTAACTAGAAAAAGAAAAAAAAAGTTACTTTGTTTGAGAATTCCTCAGTAAAAGTTCTGTGCTTAAATATGCTGCCAACAAATTGAATCACCATAAATAAAACCAGTGAGTAAACAAAATATGTTTTAAAATACATTTTTCTTTGAAGTCAGGGAGCCAGTAATTGCTCATTTACATAATGATTTGTCAAATCACAGAATATAAAATAGAGTGCATTCTAGAATACAAGTCTTATTATTTAGAGCCTATTGTACTTGAATTACTCAACGCATTCATTAATTTTACAACTGATTTATAAACACAATTAAATTCTGACCTGAAGAGAATACAATATAACAGCAGTCAGCCCAATCCAGCTGTGCAGGCTGTACATGTTGGGGATCCTCCTGGCATTGTGGTAGTCAAACACAGCTACCATAGAAACAATTGCAAGAATCATAGCTATGGTATTTAATCCGGCATGTATGAACTTCATTAGAAGTTTGCTGCACTTCCAGGTCCATGGCAACCTGTACACAATAATGGCTGAAAAAGAAGAGAAAGATTTTATTCCTTATAGTGTAACTTCTCTAAGATTTTAATAATTATGTATCATTCATATAGTTCTTCTGTAAGAGCGAGCCAAACTTTTTATCTTTAAGAAGATTATGAAAGATTATTAGAACTACACAAATGATTATTAAAAAGCTTTTTCTCTTACGCAGACTAACATTCCAAATACACAACTGAGGCCTTTAATTATTGCCTTTAGAAAATGTATTCCTCTATTTTTGAAAAATCCAAGTGTGTTTCAAAAAAATAACAGTAAACAACTTGGTGTTGTTTTTTCCTTGTTTCTTAAATTGATGTAACAGAAAGTCTGCATAGGGTTTTGATTTTTTAACTGCTAGTCACATTGGAGGAACGAGGCCCAATTCTTATATTCAGGAGATAACAAACTGAGACATGCAGTATTTTTTTAAAATATTTATTCTCTTTGCAAATTTGGGTAATGCTACTTACATCCAACCTAAACAACTGTATGATTCTGTGGGTTGAAGGGCACTGGCATATGCTACCCAGAGTACTTGTGGATGTCCTATTCCTGAGGGTGTTCAAAGCCAGACTGAATGAGGCCCTGGACAGATTGAAGTAGTGGCTGGCAACCCTGCTTGTGGCACCTGGAACTAGGTGATCTTTAAAGCCCCTTCCAACCAACCTAAGCCATTCTATGATTCTGTGATATGTATATAGCTGTGTTGTTACATTAATATTGGTAGGAGTACTTTAAATGGAAAAAGACTACTCAGCATCAGAGAATTGTAGTCCAACTGAAGAAACAAAAAGATTTGGCAGCTACAGCTCCTGAAGCACTGTTAGATCAATGCACATTTTTTGCCTGTGTTTGCATATGTGACACTAACATACCGTATTTTGACCAGGGTGAACAAAACAACAATTTCCAGTGATCTGACTCCAAATGGCCCATAAGAATAGTAAAAGCACAGAGACCTTCTTGCCAAGCTCTTTCTTCAGGGTCCTTGCTGCTCCTTTCCTGCCACTACTGACCTCCTGCCTGTTGTGTAAGCACGCAGACTAGACCAGATCACTGAAGCCCCACGTATTTCTCAATACAAGTCTGTACAATTTCTGAATGCGTGAGAGCACATAAGTACATTATGATAACAGGGGACAAATACTTATGATCATGCCTGGTCCTTGACCAGTAAAGGCTGTTCTTCCCATCCATAATGCCTTGAGTGGGCAAAAATGATGATCTCCATTCATCTGATTAATTAAATCCTTACTTAAGATTTCTTCTTATAAAATGACATCCAAATACTATATAATTAGCAATACTAAAGGAAATGAATAAGAATATATTTCAGATTTTAGAATAAGTTCTCTCTTCAAACACTCACTAGAAAATAATATGTATTACCTGGTAAGTGCAAAGATTAGGTATTTACTTAAGTAATTCTCATGTACCTTCCTCATTGCTTCTCTGTAACTCTAGCTTTTTATGCAAAAAAAGGAAAAAAAGGAAAAAAAGAAAAGGATATTAATTCTGTACATTACAACAAATAATAATAAAAAATGACAAATTGATTTTAAAGTTCTATTTAGATATACATATTTTGACTTGGATGTATGACAGGAAACACAGCACTCCATTAAATAGTTCACACAGAAAACACTGTTCACAAATGGAATTTCCAGTCCACAAGTAGATTTTAAATCAATATTTGCTTTCACATGCTGTGTGAAAATATAATATTGGAATGAAAGCTCCCTTAGAATATTTAAATACATACAGCATTTAGGTAGTTCTCAGCTTTCTACTTTTAAAAAGTGGAAATAGCACAGCATAAAAAAATTAGGAAGATAGCCTTGTTTTAAGACAGTCTGGCAGAACTTATGACTGGCAGTACTGTATGACATAATTTGATTTCCGTGATTCAGCTTGAGCTTAAGACCACCTCCAACAGTTCCACAAAATGTATGTGATAATCTTATATCTTGTAAATATTGAAATAATTGCCTGCATCAGGCAATTAACCTAGTATTAACGATTATGATTTCTAATCTTGTACAAGTGGTCCCAACCAGGCTTCAACATTCTGTGAGGATATTGTATCCCAGAAGTCTTCCTTTCTCGCTTTTCATAAATTACGGCCCAGAGTATTGTCAATAGCTTATTTCAAGTGGAATGGAGTACTGGACTCTATGTATTTTGAAGTCAAATTGACCTGAACAGATCTTGGTCTCAGTTTACAGCTTTGGTTCTCAAAGGATTGTGTCCATGCTAAATTTTTTTCTTTGGTGTATAAGATTCCATAGTAATTTGGTTTAACTTCCAAAAGCACTATCAAACTTCACAGTGTCACCCATGTAATCTTAGATCTCTTATGGACTGTGAAATTTTTTTTTGTCTGTTTCCCTCTTGGAAACAGTATGACAGAAAAGCAAGGAATACAGACTAATGGCTTGGAGACCTGTTAGCAATACCACACATTAAAATGTTGCACGCTGTAGCCCAGGGTGAATACATGATAGTACATTTTGCTGTGATTCCCTCTCAGTAAGGGCAGTGAGTAAAGTTATACATCCTAACTTGAGCAGATCTGACTGTTTACTGTTGCCAAAAGACAAGGTCCCATTTCCCCAGCACCATTTCCACTTCCTCTCTGACTGCATGCTTCTCACAACCCACTTGGTCACAACTGGTGACCAAATACTAGCCTCTCTAGTGGGAATTTAATAGGTTAGTGATGAACTGAAAATCATTTATTCTGTATTACATCACAATGGCTCTCATAATTAGTCCTTTGAGAGGGGACCAAACTGTTATCATTTGCAGGCCAAACATGAAGCAGCATGCAGCTGTTGCTTTGGAGCCCTGATATCTATGAAAAACCTTTACATGTGAAAAAGAAAGCAAAATTCTTAATTTACTAATTTACTCCATTCTATCACACTATACTATTTCTTCAAGCCCTTCTTAAAATCATTTTGTTCACATTTTTCCTATCTTAATCTTTAAAATAGTCATGGTACAAATATGCACACAGATTTTTACTACCTGTATTATCACCGCTTTGGAAAACCATCTGGACAATTACTGTGCACTGACAGGGTTTTATCAGATATAATTTACATACAGGTACCTATCTATAAATAGTTAATACTCACATTGTTGTGCCTACAGCTTTTTGATAAGATACATATTTTGTCAGGGCGTGTCTGATTCCCCATATGCATGTAATTACAGTCACCTCTTCTACCTCCCACAGACCAGCAGTACAGTTCTATCCTTTGTACAGGCTTTAATGAACTGAAGAAACAGGTGATTTGGTTACTATTTCAAATCTTGCACACAAGTTTAACCGAAGTATTTATTCAGCTATTCCTTTCTACTTTTAGCTACTTAAGGGCTTCTTTTTCTTGCATGTGTGCAAAGACGTGTTATCCCTCAGCCTCATCCAAATTACTTTGAATTAAGTGGCAGATTTTTCCATCAGTCTCCAGCTTTGCTTTTCGTGTTACCTAATTGGATTTCCTACTCCAAATAATGCTCTTCTATCAGTGAATTCCTGGTTTGATTTGTTTGTTTGTTTGAGCCATGATAAACTTTCCTTTATGTTACAAATACCTACACAAGGCTTGTGGCAACTAATTAATTCTGAAACAGGGGTAAGCTGAGTTTCACAGAAAATAAAAGAGCAGGGGAAAATTCTGCAGAAAACCTCCCCCTATTGTCTGCAAATAAACAAACAAACAAATAAGATTTAAAAAAAATCTGTTTATAAAAAGAAAAAGCTCAGTAGTTGATCACAAGAAGTTGTATTTAGTGGAGTCAACAGGTGTTTCTCGTTGCTTATTTATAACCAGAAGTTACACTTTACGTGACCTAAGCAATATTATATAAGCCAGCTTCAGAATGTTGTTTATTGCTCAAAACTTCTTTGTAACTTGAAGCCATGAAGCTCAGAACATACCTCGCTGCCACTGAAAATATTAAGTTTGTGGTGTGTGCTCAAATGACCAAGTTCCCTGCCTAGCCAGAGCTCAGCAGCCACCCGCCCTGCTCCTTCCAGCCCTGGCAGGGCTCCTGCTGCAGAGCGAGCGGCCGTACGCGCGATCCAAACAACGCGCTTGCTGGAATGAATGTCCAGATGTGCTGGACACATTTCCTGGCTGGATGAGTGCAAAATGTCGTTCAGCAGTGAAGCAAATGTAAATAAGGTTGCTAACAATGAAATTCTAAGTTAATTCCTCCTGTTACACAGAAAAAAATACTTAAGATTTCCAGAGGTTCTTCATTACTTAAGAAGAGTAAAATCATCTCCTTGCTCCTTCTCTCCAGAGAAGTCAGTGGTGAAGCTGTGAAGGAATTTCCACCATTCTCTGCAACTTTCATCTGCCTTTCTTTGATAATTGGTGCTGTTTCTTCACATGTTCTCTTATCAGTGAAGCTAGCCAGAATGAATGACTTTATCAGAAAACATCGTTGGAAGCTGTTACCTCTGCCAAATTTCCCCATTAGTTTTCATGCAATTAGTGTAAATACTAACTCAAATTTCAGGATTAGTACTTCTGGGGCATTACCATTATCTGCTTTTTAAACTTCACTGAGAACACCGCCAGTTTTCTTTCCTCACTTCAAACCATTAATCAGTGGCATTGTGTGCAAGTCAGTCAATTTCTTGAATTTAGCTGTTCTACTAAAAGCAAAAGCATGTCGTTCAAACTGCAACATTCCCGTCGGCCTCAAAGAACAACCCTTGCCCTTAAGACCTAACATGTGAAGGGCGTGTGATGGAAAACAGACAGTGAGCACATAGCACATGTAGTGGGAAACGCTGTCAGTCCAAGGCTGAACGCTGCGCAATCAAAAGTTCATACACTTTATAAAAATGTCCCCCGGCCTCATCATAACCATTTTATGTTACTCAGGCAACAGCATTAAGTACGAATTGTAAATATATATTTTGCAAAAGAATGTATACAGCTTCTGGGCTGACGAAATGCATTGCAGCGGTGTACCTGGTGCTGCATTTCCTCTGGCACAAGCCCTGCTCCTGGGTCTGGCTGCGCTGGTGCTGAACTGAGACGGGGGAGCGAGCCAGAAGGGACGGAGCCAAACGAGTGAAAGTTTCCTAGGGCAGCACTGCTGGCGTTTCGATTCCCAGCTCGCATAAATTCAGGCTGACTAGGAAAACACACCTCGCAAGACTTTCTCAAAGTGCAAGGAAACCCTAGGCCAGGTTAAACAAGTGCTTGAAGGGAGGAAAAAAAACACGAAAAAGAAGCCAAATCAACCCAAACCACCGCTACAAGCTCGCGACAAGGGACTCTTTGTCCCGTCGCGGTGCGAGCGCCGCTCTCCCGAACGGCAGCGCCGCGCAGCGCCCCGGCCCCGGTCCCGCCGCTCCCGTCCCGCGCAGCGCCCCGGCCCCGCGCGGCCCCAGCTCCGCCGCCGCCCCGCCGGGCCCTCACGCACCGATGCCCTGGATGAAGACGAAGCCCGTGACGATGAGGACGGGATGCCAGTTGAACTCCGCTGAGCCCCCGTCCCAGCCGAGCCCTTCGCGGTAGCTGAAGACCCAGACGAGGGAGAAAACGACGGAAACGAAGCCGACCAGCAGCGCCGAGCCCAGCAGCGCCAGGAAGAGCCCGTAGTCCTCCATGTTCCGAGCCCCGCGCATCGCCGCCAGCTCCGAGCGGGAGGGGCAAGGCTGACGCCCTCCTTCGGCCCCGTGCCCGGGCGGCGCCGCCCCTCGCCGCTTGTTGCGAGCCGGCCGTTGCCACGCTGTTATTTACAAGTATTTTGTACAGCCTTGCGCAGTCCTTCGCGCTCAAGTGGACCTGTCCGCGGGGCTCCGCCCGCTCCTTGGTGCCCGGGGCGTTGAGCACGTGGCTGTGGTTGTGAGCCGGGGCGCCGATGGGAGCCTCCAGCGCCGCTGCAGAGATAACGCAGCGCGGCCGTAAGCACCGAGAGATAAACCAGAAGTACTGCTGGATGAGAAGACGCAGCACGGAAAGTGCAGCCGCTGAGCGTGCTTAAAGACATGGGTGCACTGTTCTCGGAGCATGGTTTTTGTCATGGTCATCCCCTTCAACTCATGTTGGATTCCTCGATTGCTGTACAACAGCTATTAACCCGGTTTCTTACATAGATGCTGGGCTAAGTTTGTAGGAATGTTTGGGCATCATTCTATTAAAACCTGCCAAATTTTGGCAGCTTAGTCACATCTGAGACCTACTTGTAGAAGAGTTCAGGAACAGTTGTTCTACATTCTCTATTCTTAAATAGTTTTCAAAGAGTTCTATCATTTAACATAAACATCTCTCCTGTTTCTGAATGAAAATGTCAATGTGTGAGCTTCCAGGATGGAACATACTGTGTATTTACCGTGATCGAGTTTCTTACACAAAGCCCATAATCTTCATCGAAGTTTGTGCTGCCTTTTGGTCACCATAAATTGCTGCATTTTTCACCAGATGGGCAGCGATGTATGATTGTCGATTTAGAAGACTATTGCAAGTCACAACAGCTTCAAAATAATAGTCACTGGGAAGAACAGCAAATTTTTGAAAGCTACAGAGGTGATATTGTGGATGGTACCTGCAGTATTTAATAAGCAGTATTCTAGGTAAGTTTAAATGCCTTGCTCTGGAAAGAACTCTTTTAAATAATCCAAACAGAAGCAAGCATGAAATTCCTTACTAAGGAAGACTAAGTATGTCATAAAAATGTCAGAAATGGTGATGGGGCTTATATAATCATCAACTGCACACCTCCCATAAAAATGTTCTGCTGTATTCCAATCTGGGAAAGTTTCTGCTTTTGCTGTCACCACTTCTGTCTGAAATATTATTTCAAGATTGCACAATACTTCTGAAGATGAGCAAAACAGTTACTCTGCCTTTTTGAAATCAGCTTTTGAGTAGCCTCAGTGTTCCAGCTTCCCTCTATCTACACTGGCCACAGATGATTCATGACCATCTGGAAACTGCACTTCTCCTTACTAAGTATCTTAGTCTCTTCAGTTTGCTTTCATGTAGCAACTTTTATTAATAAATATCCTGACTTACGACTTCCTAGTAATTGCTATATGAAATAATTTGCAGACATCAGAAGAGGGATGGAAAGGAGATGAGGAGTATCATGAAAAACAGCTCTGTGCCATTTTTCCCCAAGCACTCAACTTCTTGTACCTGACAAGCAGTTGTCCTCCTTGTAACCTTACTTTTCAGTTAGGCTATAGTGTTTTCTTTTTCACGGTAGTTTCCATTTGTCATCACTGACTGAGGTGACGGATTTCTAATGAAAGGAATTTAGTTAGAAATAATTAACCCATACACACTCAGAATAGAAATTTCTGCCTCAGCATCATTTCCGATAGATTTTGTACTAGTTTCTACTCTTCTATCTCCCTGTTATTTATGTAGTAGCATAATGGACAGGTGCTTTTTCCCTAGACATTAAATGAAATTGAAGGTAGGGTGGAAGTAGAGCATTGCTGCTATTCTTTATTTCTACTGTTGTTTCATTACCTTCTTACATCTCCTTTCTGCCTTTTTTTTTTTTTTTTTTTGTATTTTCTTTCCACAATTTTATTTTACTTTTTATTTTGCATTACAGTTTATATATAATCTTGCAAATGCTGTTTTTATATATAATTTTACAGCCCTTCCCTATTGCATCAGCTGCAAAAATGAACACTTCAGTAGTAAAGGTTACCAGGAAAAGAAATAGCTGGGTTTGGAATGATTATGCTCATGAAATGAACATGGCAGTGGTGGTAGTGGGGAGAAATCAGATATTGGCCATCCCTCCAAAAGCGACACTTGTAGAGGCACCTTTGGCTTGCATTTGGTCACTCTATTTGGTTATTTGCATGGTTAATCTTTATGATCATGAAGTGGGTTGGGAGCTTGTGAGTTGTTTTTTCACTTATACTAATTGGTTTTGTTCACTTATATTTTTAATGAATATACCACGTGGAATTGCCACGTATGAGACAGGCTGCACACAGCAATCAGACCGAGTATCTGGTGGCTTTGATTCAGACTGAGCAATCTGTGAAATCTGGCGTGGGGAAATTCAGAGAAGTGCCTTTTTCATATATGCACATAAAATAAATAAAACATAAAAGGCAGTAAATATACATAATTTATTAATACTCTTCTTCAAACCAAAACAAACACAACTAGAAAATTGGTTAAACCCTCAAAAACCCAAATGGTTTTGTGTATCAGAAAAAATCCTCTTGTCGGTTTTGTGTAACGATAACTGCAGTTTTTGTCCTACATAGAAATTCTTTTCTATACAGCCTTTCACATTTTTTTAGTTAACAGCCTGTATTAAAGTTGCATAGCTAAAACTACATAAGATAGAATGCAGCAGATGATCAAGAAGTCTACGTCTTTCTCCTTGATGTTCAGTATTTCAATGCAGTTGCTGAATAGAACCAAGAAATGCTGCATTCAGCATTAAAGAACTGGTGAATGCATGAAAAACCATTACGGACTACAGACAAGAGTACAATATTAGAGAAAAAAAAAAAAATAAAACCTCGTATAATGGTACAAAATGTTAAAACACTGGCTGGAAAACAGTAGTTGACTACTTAATACAGAGGAAGTCCTTAAATAACATCAAAATTGAAGTCTCTGTACTTGTTATGTCTTAAGTATACTCAAAAATTCTCCCTCCTTTTTTACAAAACACTCTTTCTGTTCTTTCATGTCTTGAACATTCATCTTCTTCTGCAGTATCACAGACCATTTGGTAAACATAACAACTGAACCTCCTGTTAGGCTTCTGTTCTATATGCAACACAATATCTCTGTCAAAGTAAACTTCATGACTGTAAGTCTGAAATGAGAAAAATAATTCTGATTGCAGTCTCAATTTCCACAGCTTGATAACAGTATCACTGTTTGATATATCATTTAGTATAGTGTAATTTAGTAATATTAATAGTATATATTATAACAGTATATATTATAATAGTATATATTATAATTGTATTAATTTAGTAGTAGTATCTTTTTCCTTCAGGAGGTGAGAAGGGAATATATATGTATATATACATAACATTTTTTATTTCCCTGATCAGACAGGAAATTTGTGTGGACGCACACAGTCTGCCCTTCTAGAAAAAAGGCAGAGTTTTAAAGATATTCTGTGTATCTATTTTTGGGAATCTAAGCACAATTTAAAGCATTTAAGTCGCCTATACAGGCAATTATAAGAGACACCAAAGGTGCTGAGTAAATTAGACTACCTAAGTTATGTACCTAAACTTGGGCTATATGAACTGCCCATTGCATCTTTCCAAACGTACACACAGCAAGGTCCATGCTTAATTCTATGCATGAATAGTTACAGTTCAGTTAAGGAGACTATTTACAAGGTGTAAAGTTAAGTTGATGTAACTAGCCAGACAATGAGTATTCAAGTTGATAAATACTTCAGAAAGGAAAAAAAAAAAAAAAAAAAAAAAAATGCAACTAGCCAAAAAACATTGATTTCAAATAATTAAGATTTTATGATAAATTAACTACTGTCTGATGGAATACTTAATTTTTTTGAGTCATGATTATATTTAGTACAAGTCTCAATCATAACACCAGGCAACACAATTTATCTATCTACTTCAAATCTGAATGAAAAAGTAATGCATTTAATGGTAGGTAAACAGGAAAGGGGAAATGTTAGTGTCAACAACCAAAAAAAAGGAATGCTCCTCACCACGTCCCAGGATTCCAGTAATGGAATACTCTTAAGTAGAATCCCACGTTCATTACAGCGTAAATCAAGGTGAGCTCTTCCATCAGCTCCTACTTCAGTAACTGCCACAGTGGATAACAAATCCAGTTCATCTTCATAGTCTACAATTTTGAATGTCTTAGGAAAAACAAAGCCTTAAGTTTACATGTGAAACAATTTCACATTCCCTGAAGAATTGGAAAGTATTCTGGCATCTCTTTGCCAGCCTGATAGCCAACAAGCATCTTTCCTCACACAAGGTTTCTAACTTAGGTTGGTGATATTCCTTAAGACAGGAAGAGAAGAAAGTGATGTTCTGAACAACGTACAAGTAGATGCATTTTAGATATGATAGGATAAATAGAAAAACAGATGGATAACACAGCTAATGGTTACAGGCACTGCACCTGTAACAGGAATGACTTCTCTCTTGCTAAACTTCTTTAATCCATACCCACTACATCAGTTACCTCTTGTTCTGGGTCATCATCCAGCAGGTTAAGACGCTTTTTCACCACTCGACCAGAAGATGTTACAGTAACAGAGCTGTTCACCTTTGGAGAAAAAGAATGGCCCTGGATTTAGAGCGTTACAGTTTCATCATATCTATTTGACAACATATCTAATTCATGTCGTCTGCTTTCTGACCTTGCTTTAATCTCTGGAATTGTGTCATGCCTTCTGCTCCTGACCTTGGTTTAATCTCTGGACTCTTGTTCTATTTATTAGCAATACATAGCCTTATTGCTGCCATCTGTTCTTTATGAGGGCTTATGAACTTGGTGGCTTTAGGTGAGGTACAACTGATGTTAGTAATTAACAGGTTCTCATTCCTGTGGAGGTGGCAAAGTTTCTCCATTACCATTTTTTTTTTTTAGAACTGGAGTTACTGGAGCCAAGATGTTGGAATGAGGATGAAGTCACCGCCAATTTGCTTCTTAATCTTAATTCCAGGAGACAGGCAAA